TTAATCACAGAATTACAAGGGACAGAATGGATGTCAGGAAAATCCTCATAGAGGGGTGACCCCTGAGCTGGAGTCTGAAAGGTAAGTTGGCCTTGGTAGATGAGCATGGGATATTTGGGGGGTAGGGATGAGAAGTGTAACATTTTCCAAGCTGATCAACTGGGGCACAATCTTGTATGAAGTTCACTGGAAAAGAGCAAGCGAGCTGTCTGGTAAGGCTGGTTTTGGGAAAGTGAGGTTCAGCAAAAGCCAGGGCTTGGCTATTGCTAAGAAATATGACTCTATCCACAAATAGTTCCTAACTGCTTCTGAACAAAGATCCTTTTCAGATATTAAAGGCAATTTAAAAACTCAAAGGCTAAAATTTATTGCTCACTTTACAAATCAGGTACTTTGCATGCATTTCTCATTTAACATTATATTCTCAACAACCCTGCAAATAGCAATGATTTAATTGTTTCTGAACATAAACCCTTTTCAGATTTTAAGGATAACGATAACAACAAAATAACTACAGTGTATTATTTACTATGAACCAGGCACTATACGTACATTTCTTATTTGATTTTATATTCACAACCATTGTAGGAACAAAAATTATTTCTATCAGATTATGGCAGCTAGGTGATTAGCTTCCAAGCACTGCAATTAAGTGGCAGGATAGACTTCAAACTCAGTTTAACTTAAACCCATCCTCTAGGAATCCTCCCTTTGAATTAAGAAAAACAGTGCATTCATATACATGATTATTTTCTTCTTCTCATTCAGGTCACACACTTCATTCATGGGTGGAGGGATGCGATAATCTCTTTTGATTCCACATCCTCCTCTAGCTTCACTCCCTTTCTCCACTTCAAGTAAAACCAACTCGAGTTGTCTACACTAGTCATATCTCCTTTCTTACTTCCCACTCTCCTTCCTAACTAGTCTTCCCATTGAGACTAGCAACCTGCTGTGGACAATGTCGGCTACAGCCTCCATATTGCTATTCCAAAGGCCAAGTCACTGTCCTCATATGACCTGACATCTCATTGGAGATTACTTTTCTTTCTTAGCCCCAGGACACCACTCACCCCTATTTTTTATTGTTTTCTGTTTTTTCCTCATCTTATCTGACCTTCTCAATGCCTCTGCCAGAAGGAACTCTAAATGTTGGACTGTCCCTTTCTCAACCTGGGAGTTTCTTCCCTTCATTGGAGTTTAATACCATGTAGGTACTGATAATCAAGAGGTTTTGAAAGAAAGATTTTATTTATTTACTTTTAGAGGGAGGGAAAGGGAGAGAGAAAGAGAGGGAAGGAAACTGATGTGAGAAACATTGATTGGTTGCCTCTTGTATGCAGCCCAACAGGGGACTGACCCCTCAACCTAGATATGTGCCCTGACCAGGAATTGAGCCTGACTGGGAATCTAAATCACTTTGGGAGACAACGTCCAACCCTCTTAGCCCCATAGGTCAGAGCAAGAAATTTTTATATAAAACTCCAACTACCTATACAACTGTCTACTCAACATCCCCTTGAGGACAGCAAATGGCTATCTCACACTTCACCTAATAGAACACTTCATTCCTCTTGTATCCAAATTTTTAAAAAATTTTTCAAAGAAAAAACACAGAGCAGGTACTATAGGCTTCGTCAAAGCTAAAGAGGTCATGCATTACTATATAAATTTGAACAATACACAGTAGGAATAGCTAAAAACTCCAAACCTCAGGTTTAGATATGTATTTCCTTACCACATATTCTTTCATATAGGATGATGTAGGATGCCTATGATATGAGATTTTGGTAATTACTTTGCTTATTGGAACTTACAAAAGTGGAACTTTAATATGCAATGGACACATAATCTTAAACCCGAAATTGTAACATATTTTTATTTTTCAAGTGTTGAGGAAATTAACCTCTTGCTGATGGTGGAGAACTATGCAATCTGAACTAAGAGTATAACTAGAGAAAATGGACAAAGTTTTGAAAATATATAGAAATATATAAAGGAACTTGGAGAGCCAAAAAAAAAAAAAGGTCAGTGAAGAGTTAGTTAAGGACATGAGATGAGGAAGACAGAAATCCAGACAGGTAAGCCTGAAATCTGGGGCCTCTGTCTGAATTAGGGGCCACGCCGATCCTAAAAGGGGTAAAAGAGGAAGCATCAAGATGCTTGGGGCACAAAAAATAATGTAATAGGTAGGCTAGAGGCTGGAAACCCTCCATGATTTGTGTGGCGACTCAGAGAGAGCTACACTATAGGAGTAAGTGCAAACAGTACAGTTCTCCATGGCCTGACACATACAGCTTCAGATCATCTTTTTCTTTGAAAAATGAATTAAGGATGGTCCAAATTGCTAGTGCCATAGCTGCTTGCCAGAAGCAAAGGTAAGTTTTCTCTGAAGAAAGGTAACATCATGCTAGGCCTCAAAATTTTTCTATAACTGTTAAAAAAGTAGAATAGTTGATATCAATAAAAAAAATGGGTACATAAACAGGTAATATAATATGAAAACAAAATAAAATCAAATACCCCGAGAGGGAAAACAGATGACAGAACCCAATGCACAGGGGACCCTATGGCACAATGCAACTATCGTTTTTATCTGTGCATTATAAATGCAAAGAGCTACAAGTTAAAAATTAAGATTTTCTTCCCCCAGGGAACTACAGAACATAAAAGGAACTAAATGGAATTCTATATCTAAAAAATACAATAATTCAACTTAGGAGTTTAAAAAGATAGAGTTAAAAACAGATTAGACACAGCAAAAGAGAGAATTAGACAAGAGAAGTCAGATCAGAAGAAAACTAACAACAAAAGAGAAAATATTGAAAAAAGGGTAAGAGTTATAAAGAATCAGTAAATATGTCTTCTAAAATATGTGTAAATGAAATTCTACAAAGAGAAGAAAAATGACAGAAACAATATTTTCAGAGATAATGGCTCAGAATTTTTCAAAAATCAAACACATGGTGTTAAGCCATTTGGGAAGCATGCACATTCCAAAGGGGATAAAAAAACAAAAAGAAAACTATACAAAGAAACATTATAATAAAAAGCTAAAAATCAAAGACAGAGAAATTTTTCACTGTAGTCCGAACAAAACAGATTACATTTTAAAGAACAATTAGACTGATAAGTGACTCCTTAACATAAAATAGAAAGTAGAAGATAGTATAAGAAATAACCATTAACCTAGACTTTTATTCCTATAGAAAATATCCTTCAAGAATGAAGAAAGGTAAAATAAAAACATTTTTAGAAAACAAACACCAGATACACAGAGTAATTTTTTTACATTTCAGTTGAGCTAAATGGTCACATATATGCATTACGACTTGGAGACTATGCAAGATAATTTCTCAATAGTGGTCACAGGTTTTGTCTTTTCTAAGAAAGCTCCACTTTTCAAGACACCGAGGACAAGTACTGTTTAAAAACAATTCAAATCAATTTAGAAACTGATGGGAGGCAGAGGGGTTAAGAAGAAGGAAATAGTAACACACAGCAACTTATAAATTGCTTGAATTTCATCAAGTAAAATCTGCACAACTATTCAAGGTCAATGCTACTTATTTTTATTATCTTAAAAATTATTCCATGTGAGCTAATTTTATAAATGCTTTTAGAGTACATTGCTTTTACATCCGATTCATTTTGCTATACATACACAAATCATCAGTGATAAAAGCCTAAAAAAGATGACTCTGAAGTAGCTGAATGCTCTGAGTAGTCTGAGTGTAATTTAACTTTCTTGAGGGCAAGGAAAATTTCTTAACCACCCTGTAACTCCTGTAGTACGCCCAGCACGCAACTCTGCACACAGTGGGTGCTCCCAAATAATTTACTTAATGAATAAAATTATGAAAGACACAAGACACAAGATCCTTCATCAGCTCACTTCCAAATGAGAATAATTTCTTCTCATTTCAAGTTTGTTAAATAAAATTATTCTCATTTCAAGGTTAGAACTAGTATATTTAAGAATTTTGGTCTTCTCAACTTTAAATAAAAACCACTCTAATGAAATTGCCTTCAGGAAAATCATTTTCATGTTTTACATGTATTTGAGTAACTACTAGATATAAGATAAAAAGGAATCCCCTTTGGAAATTTAGAAATTTCTCATGGATTTAGATTATAACTGAATTACTTTCCAAATATGTTACTGGCCTGGTTTTAAGAGTGCTTTCTATGTATCAGCATGTAGAAAAGGCTACCAGTGTTATATGCACTCCAGAGAGCATGAAGAAAATACAGGACATAGCTATGGCACATAGATGCATTTAGCAAGTTGGTAAATTAATTATTTACATGATATTAAAAGTCAGAAATGTAGTTATGATGGTGAAAAAATGCCCCCAAATTAGCATATTCTATAATTCATAGTCTATTTTGGCTTTGAGGAAATAAACAACAAAAGAATGGGTAGAAAAAATCAATAATCATGTATGTATAAATTGTTTAATCTGGGTAATTAGGAAAAAGCATGTGAATAAAAGAAATAATAGGATTGATGAATTAATACAAAGTCTCTTTTTTCTCTTTAAAGAAAAAGGTTGTTTCTCTGGTTTTCAATAAGAACAAACACACAGCTGAGTCAATTTTAAAAATGAAAAGAATAAAAATCAATAAAAGTATTAAAAGTCACATATAATTGTCTACTTTAAAAAATATCATTGATCTTTAAAAATTTAAAAATATCACTAGTCTTCTGCGTAACTCCTTAACATTGCCAGTTAACAGGTAGATATGAAGTAATTTTCCTCCTAAAATGCACACATCACTTAGATTTATTAGTTGAAACTACTGAAAGATTTGTTTCTTGAGCCATCTTAATGCAAGCGTTCTTGCCAAGGTGTCATTCCATTCTTGCATTAACAAATGGGATCAAATAAATGGAATTCCCCACCCCTCATTCATGTCTCAAAAAGTCACCGACTGCTGGAAAACAACAGAAATTTATTTTCTTCTGGAAATGAATCAGAAGGCAGATCATCATTTGGTAGCCAGCATATGATTCAGCAGAGCTTTGTAGGAAAAAAAGTATAAAGTTGAAAAACGACCCCAAAAGGGCTCTGGAAGTAGTGGACTTTTTCCCCTTCCTGGAATCACTACCGGCAGCATCTATGAACTTCTGACTGTATAACTGAAGAACCCACCACGATGACAAAGTAGTGACTTCTAAAGAGCAGCCAACAAGCACTTAGGGACCAGCAAGTACAGGTAGGAGAAATGCAAATGTGTGACAAGGGTTTATATAGCCAATGATGTGATTAAATGAAAAACAGGGCATGAATACTGATTGTGACTATTTAAAGAATTTCTCAGAAGAGGTAAAATATATTTACAAAAAGTGATACTTTTTCTGTGTCTCATGAGATTGTGTTTTGTAGTTTTTTTGTCTTCACTAAGCAATGGTTACATAAAAAGCAAATGATTTCTAAACTCAATATTTTTTCTGGATTTGAAAAGATGTTCCAGTAGGTGATTTAAACAGGAGGAGGAAAGCATCCACGTAGATGCACAAAATTTAGAAACCAACGTCTGAAATTTCATGCATCTACAAATTATCATCTTTAAAGATCATTTAAAGACTCCCAGATCTGCACTCACTTTTATAATACTGAATGTCTCCCATCAATGGGAGATGATCGCTCCTGGCAATTACAGAGTTATTATGTAATAAAAACTGTAGTAGAGCAATTTGTACTTATTCCAGCTATTAAACTAGAAAGTTCTTGGAAGTTTAGAGGAATTGCCTTCTTTTGAGCTCAAGCTGCCAATATGTGATGCTTTTACTTTCTAAAAAGGGAACATTTCAAATAGAAGATGGGAAGAAAAGACCGGAAAGTACCAAAATATTGAGTTGAAATCTATGGTTTTCATTTCTCTGAATGCTCTTGTAACTCATGGAAGACCTTTTGTTTTCATACTTTAAGAAAGCTGTACATCTGTCAGTGGTCAAAAAGATGGACTAATAAGAGCTCCAGGGCATTCAGAAGGAGCCTCAATAGATGGCTCAGGTCAGCCACCGGTCTTTTTTAGCATTTATGATTTCCCTCTCAAAGCCTCTGAACTAAAGTGTGCTTTCATCTTTCCACCATTTCCAATATGTCACCATTCTGTTTGATTTGTTTTGTTAAAAAATGAGCCCAAATTTGGAGAGGATAGGGAGATACCCTGTCTTGTGGATTCATGTGATTTTCTGTTATGGTCTACTAAAAAAGAGTAATGCACAAAAATGCAGTTTTACATGTACTTGATCTCCCTTTGGACTCAAATCTCTTCAACAATTCATGTTAATTATTTTTCAAATCTAAAAGAATGGTTTCATTTTAAGACTTCAACACTGGTTTTTGGCAGACAGCTTTTTCAACATAGTTTCAACTCTTTGAACCTGTCCCCATAGTTCATTTCCCACCGTCTGAGCTTCCAAGTTAGCAGTGGGCAAAGGATTGAAACAAGAGTGGAAGCCCATAAACATTATTTGTTTAGGGCTCCACTAAACAGGTTACACTAACAACTGTCTGGTCGCACCCAGTTTGACAGTTTTACAGAAACTTAGAGCACTGCAATAAATTTAAGAGATTGGGGGGAGAGGACCCTCATTCTTATACCAAGGTAATCAAGGAAACAGGAGATTGGGGGAAAGAGGCAAAATATCTGGGACAGAAAATATCTGGGATACATACCAGTTTTGTTTTATTTTCCCCATTCCTACCCCAAACAATCCAGGTAACTGCAGCCCTAGGTGACTCGGCTCCCTCTCCTGTCTTGTTTGTTTAGAGGGGAAGTAGTGCTATGGAGTGAACTTTGGCAAAGAGAAATCCGAACACTAAATAAATTGTGGTGAGGAAAGATGCAGCAACCCTTCTGTCCAGGGAGTAAATGGTTCCTCCATGGACCGGGAGCTAGTGGCATAAACTGGAGACCTGAGGGGAACATAAAGCACTGTGTCCAGAGTGGTGTTGTGATTGCCAAGTGGGGTGAGGGTCGGGAAAGGACTTGAAGCACAGTTGTTGTCATGTAATCTTTATTATCTTGTCTTTGATAAACTTTTCAAATGTGATGTCATTCAAGATACACTGAATTGTAAAAGCAAATGTTATGAAAGTATCATAAAAATATCTTCAGTGTCACCCACCTGGCTTCTCCCACCCCACCCTGCCCACCTTCTACTTTATCTTTTAAGACAAGTCCAAATTACCACTGCCTACAGGAAGGCTTCCTTATGTCCTCCTCATCCATTGCCATTAGAAAATATTAACCTCCCCTCCCTTACTTTGCCCATGTTTTCTTTATGACACATTCCTTTCTACTTTGTGGTATACATAGCATGGTAGTCCTTGAAAAGATTACATTAAGCTAATTTTAATACTTGGGGACTGAAGGGACTTATCTAAGAAAAAGAAGATAAAAAACATGTATAGTAAAATGATAGCAAACTCACAATTATTAACAACCACACCTAAAACAAAAAGAAAAACAAACAAAGTAAACAAGTAGAACAGGAACAGAACCACAGAAATGGAGATCACATGGAGGATTAGCAACAGGGGAGTGGGAGGAGGAGAGAGGGGGAAAAGGTACAGAGAATAAGTAGCATAGACGGTAGGTAGAAAATAGACAGGGGGAGGGCAAGAATAGTATGGGAAATGTAGAAGCTAAAGAACTTATAACTATGACACATGGACATGAACTAAAGGGAGGAGTGCGGGTGGGAGAGGGTATACAGGGTAGAGGGGAGTGAAGGGGGAAAATGGGACAACTGTAATACCATAATCAATAAACTATATTAAAAATATTTTGGGATTGAAAAGCAGAGAGTGTATACTACTTCTTTTCAAACCTTAAACATCAAAACTCAATTTTGCCAGAAAATTGGAAAGACAGGGACCAAGGCGAACACTACAGAAAGTAAATGTTAAACAAAAAATGAGATACAAACGGAAAATACCATTCCTTATTTTACTCATTCCTCCTCAATATGAAGGATGATCAGGAACAAGTGGCCACTAATATTATTTTAAAAAATTAAACAAATATTATTGACCCTAACATAATTTCAAGGGTTTTATGAGATGGCAGAATAAGAGTATTTTGGCCACTGTCATGACATTTCATTACAGGAGACAGTTTGTTACTGAGCTTGTGCTTATTCCCAGCCCTCAATGCCTTTAGGTAGCTGCTTTTATTAGTTTCTTGTATATTCTTCCAGTTTTTAAATAAATACTTATCTGCCCCTGTTCCTGTTTACACAACAGTTAGCATAACATGCATACACAGTTCTGTATCCTGCTTTTACAAAAACGTACCTATCTTGGAAATCTCTCCACGTCACTATGTACAGAGCTTCCTTCCCCTCCTCTCCCTTCCCTTCTCTACCCCCCACACCCCCAAGCCTTTTTTTTAAAGAGAAGCATATTAGTTCCTTGTGTGGAGGCACTGCAGCTTATTTGTAGCCTTTTAGATGAATAAACATGTTACTTCCAATCTTTTCCTTTCATAATTAGTGTTGTAATAGACACCCTTATCCATGTATTCTTTCATTGGTGGGTAGAATACTGATAGGTAAATAGATTTATAATTTTTGATTGATTCAAAGTCATTTTAAATTGTTCACCAGCCTTATAAAGGACATGTTCAAATTTCTTAAACTGAATTTAATGTATTATATTATTTAATTTCAAAATATGGTCCTGAGCAAATTTTGAATTATCATGGTCCCTTAGGTGACCTGGCATGGGTCACTGACTTTCAGAAAAGGAGCTTGTGCTGATGAGTGACAAGAACCCCAAAATAAAAACAAATACCATAAGGTGCTAACTAAATGGACTGTCATAATAAGCAAGATTGTTATCTTTCTCAGATTATTCCAGTCCCTTGGAGCAGTTTGAATAAGTTAGTAAAGAATAGCCATGTTAAATATTTGTACCCTTAAATAATTCAGATGGAGAAATATTTCAGTGCAATATCTATTCAGTCGGACACATATAAAGCCTATAAACTCTCTGTCAAAATGAAGTTCTATTCTAACAGCCTCATTTCAACTTGGCACAAGGAGTAAAAACAGGTAAAAAACAATGCAGTTGTAATTTTTTAAAAAACTCCTCAATGAGGTTTTCTATTTTTACCTCATAAGGAAATACTGTGTTTTCTCAAAACAATTTATTTTTCCTTGTTAATTATTAATTAATAAGATATTACCACCAAATGAAGAAATATGATGTCTCTTGTAATAAGTATCTCTAATTATTAATCCTGAGGCACACAGAGTCAAACATTACTTTATTTTCATTTGATGAGTGAAATACAACAGAACAAATAAGAAATCAGTATTTAATTCCATCATTAAAAACAGACAAGTATTTCTCAGGGAGGACTTCTCTGTTTCACAAATAAATTAACCTGTAAGTTTACCAAATAAACACCATGAAGAGTGTACTTTAAAATCGTTATATTACCTCACTGTCCTAGCATTAAAAAAAAGTAAATACAATTTTTTTTAAAGCAAATACAAAGTTTTGTGTATTTTTTTAAAATCAACATTTTGCTGGGAGGCTTAAAAGACAGTTGACATAAAAGTTCCAAAACACGGGTAAGAGCACCCGTGTAGGTGCTTACATGTAGTAAGAAAGTACATATTTGGGCAACTCTGTTGTCAGAGTTCAGGAAGGTAAACAACTAATGCCTTGCTTACTTCTGAAGTGATCAAAAAGCATGTCTCCCCTGAGAGGAAACTGGATGACCACGGATGCATTACCACACAGGAAAGGAAAGAGATCGAGGCCTTAGTGGCAATTTCTGACTTAGCCTAAAACGTCACTTCAAATACTTTGCAGTTTTACTACAATATTAAATTTACCAATTATTTTAAAATGTCCTATACAGGGTCCTGCAGAAGTCACTCCACTGAGTGTGGTCGGTAGGGTATGTGACTGTCTTGCAGGAGATGGACAGCAACTTGAACATTTCACCTACAATGTCACATGGTGTGCTTGAGTGTGATGTTATGTTACAGAATTACATGCTTATGATTTTGTACTAACAAACTTGGTATAGATCACCAGCCCATAAAAAGGGGCTTTATTTGTGCTGCATCCTGTATTTTAAATGTTAACATTACCACTAGGAACCCCAAAATAAAATTGGACTGTTACATTAATGCTATTTCAAGGCAGAGAAATACATTACAAAGAAATGTTTATCTGAGACCCACAGTT